GCCCAGCGCGCACCCGGGGCTCCCCAGCCAGCCGCGCCGCCCGAGATGGGCGAGAAAGGCGGGGTGCGGGCCCCCAGGGCGCGGCGGAGCGGTGCGGGCCAGCCCAGCCAGCGCCCTGCTCTTGCCTGCCAGTCCCGTCCGCGGTTTAGAACAACAAGAACTGTTCCGGGGGCTCAAAGTAACGGTGCGGGAAGTTAAGCAAACGTATAGGGCTTTGGGCTTTCTAAAACTTGGCGAGGTTAGTTGACAGAAACCCTACGGCAGGTCCTGGCCCGCTGACTTACCGAGATACAGCGAGCGTAAGGCACTGTTCTGGTTTTCCTCACTCACACCTAAGCAGAGTAGGAAGGAAAGCAGCCCTTATTATCCAAACGTATTTCCATAAAGAGACAAACTGCTATTACTTGGAGAATTTCTGGTAAAAACTATTAAAAGCTGAGGACTGATTTAGGAAAACACTGAAACTTCCAGATGTCCTCTAAAAATAATTAGGTCATGCTGGCAGCTCCATGCTATTGCCTCGCAGTATTGTCTATTCTGCTGTCTTTGCCAAAAACTCGGGAGGTAATTTGCACGTTGTTGCTCAACCTGCCTCAAACAAACAGCAACACCATATCTGCCAAAACAAAGTCTAGTATATAGAAAGCAACTGCTGCTGGGGAATACAGGTTGAAAGGCAAGCCAAACAGATTTGGATAAACACTGAGGTATGTTTAAGTTCCTCAAAAGTATACAATTACTTAGAACTATCTGGAAAAAATCCAGAACCAAAAAGTCTAGTTTTCCCCCTTTTCTTTCTTTTAAAATATGACCAAGAAATTTGACTTTAACATAGCACACATTAGCTAAGATTGATGTATATCACTGAAGATTTAATTTTTATGTTCAATTATCTAAATTCCAAAGCAATGTTCAATGGTAGTGGGTACACACAGAGGTTTAAAACTTTTTCAGAGCAAGAAATCCATTGTAACTGATATGATTTCTGCGTTATTCTCCACCCTTACTCGCCCACATCAGTATCATCTGGATGAATGCTTGCATGGACTGGAACCTGAGAACTGAATTAAATTCCTCATTCCAAGAGCATTCAAAAGTACAGGAGGAAAGAGATTTAACTGAAAGTCAAAATGCTCTAGGTCTTTGGCACGTGATTATTATTTTTTTTTTTTTCTAAATCTTCCATGATACGTATTTTCAGACTTACGGTAGATCTGCACCATGGCATAAAGAGCCTTGCTGTCATGCAGACGATGACTTCTGTGGTTAATAGTTCTGAACCTAGACTTAAACCATGACGTCTCCATAAACAGACTGCTATCAGTCTGAGAAACTGTAAAAGAAAATAAATAAATAAAAGCTGAGGAAAGATTCTCGCTGTGAGAACAAAACTCCTCCTGTTTGTTTGTTTGTTTTTTTGTTTTAAACCTGTCGTGTGTTACCTTTATTTAATCTCTCTCAGTTGTCTGTATTGCAAGATAAACTTCAGGCAAGTGCAGACAAGGATGAAACAAGGAAGTTCTAAATATCCCTTCTGTGCCGTTCAGTTTTTTATAGACCTTTCTCCACTCTAAGAGATGTTCTTTTTTCCTAGAAAGACTCTTAGCTTGCTTACATTTCTTTTACATAGCTTTATCTTCTTTGCTGACCTCCAAAGCTTTCCCAGTTCTGCTCTATTGAAAATGGAGAGGCTAAAACTGCACACAGTAGTCAAAATCCTATTTGCCTGCTTCCTAGAGGAAGTAATGGAAGAGTTGGGGGTTAGAGGGGATAGCGTTTTGTTTTAAATCAGGGTGTTCCAATAGCAGCATTGGCTAGAATCATTATAATGTAATAGTAATTCAAAATCTCCTACCACTCCAGAATGCAGCTGTAGTCATCCAGAATGCAGCTGAGAAATATATTAAAAGCTCCTTCAGTTTTGGAGAGTTCATTCACGAACAATAAAAGTCTTAGATTTGTTGAGTGCTGGTCTTCTGCCTTGGTCATTCAGGTGTCATTTTTAGTTTAATCACAGAGAATATACTGAAATGAAGCAGCTTATTATTTATTCTTGCCAGAAAGAACATACTAGGTATAACTATGTCCTGTCTTGTAAAGTGTATGGTTACCTGTATTTGGTGTTCTCAAGTTACACAAAATAGCTCCAATACATTAACAAAAACGCCTATTTACTTAAAAGCTAGATCTCCAATGCAAAGCTATGTATTTAACTCAAAGACACAGTAAATGTCACAAACACATTTCTAAGTCAAAGTAGCAGATCTAGCTGCTAAAAGACACAAAAGGGACTGAGCAAGCTCTTGGATCAACCTTAGCAGTCTTGTATTGATGTGTATCTGCAGAAACACCACCTGTATCATACACATTCCACATTGCTAGCTTACTTGGACAAATGACTGAGCTCTCACTGTGACAGTTTTGCAAAATAAACCAAAAGAGAGGTCCATTCAGGATCTTTCTTCTGTTTGCACTAACTTATCAGTCGAAAGTGCAAGAAACTTTGTAGTGAAAGGAGATAAAATTTTCCCTGGAAAACTTTATTCTTAAATTCCCATCTTCTGTGCTATGAAGGATGGAGATTTATATTCCAGTCAAATCTAGTAATATTACTAACACTCTAGACCTTCCAGCTGCCAATACATACATACATCTCTTCTAGGGGTTATTTTACTTCTAATGGCTTCAGAGGCTTTAATATATGGTAAAAAGAATCCTTGAAATAGTTTACATGTTCTTATCTTTAATCTAATAAATGACCTTTTTTTCTCCCATATTTTCTAAATTCTCTTTCATTTCTCTCATCCCTCCATATTTTTTTAAGAAGAGCAGGAACATTTTATGAGATGCAATTTATTCCAACAAACTGTTTTGCATGTGTGGCTTGGGACCACCCATATCAGTTGCTTTTAAAGATTATTGGTAAGGTACTGATTTGGTGCGCGTTAGTTCTAGCATTTCAACAAACAGGAAGAACTTAGTAATAATTTTATAAATTAGAATAAATAATTCTTTGCATAAACTCTTCCCAAGTGCTGAAAGCTTAAAGAAAAAAAAAAGAAAAAAATCTACTCAGCCAACTGCTGCCTGAGCCTTCCCTCCCATCCTGTAAAAGAGAAATGGGGCTTATGGTGCAAGACCTCTTCTAATCTGCTTTGAAGTTACTTCAGATTAATGCCTTTACAAAACAGTGGACCTCTCCAAGAGAGGCAGGAGCTGTCTTTTGTGATCAATACGACCTCATACTGTTTCTTACAGGATTATGCCTAATCTGCGTTCTCCCAGGTAAAACATTAGAAGAGTTCATCTAGGCATTACATCATCTTCATAAAATCAACAGGCAACCTCCCCGCAAAAATTATCTTTATTTTAAAAGAAACTGAAACCAGACAACAGAAAGCAACAAAGTTACATACAGTGCTGGACAAAATCTACCATATACATTTTCCAAGAATGCTTGAATCAGATTCTGATATATGTTCTTCTAAAAGGTAAAATATCACATCATTATTAACAAAAAAATTAAATGTCAACAATCTTAATCAGCTTCTATTTTGCACCGTTTGGATGGCAGTAGATTGGTAACTTGCCTTTTTCAACTCATCTTTAACACTGAAAGGAGAACGTGGACAAAAAAAATTCCAAGTCAGAAGGCCCTAAAGAACAGTGTCTGCTCTAAAGGCCATATACAAAAGCTTGGAGGAGAGAATGTCTTTTAAGTAAAAATCCCTCAACAACTCCATATTATTTCACATTTCAGAAAAAAACTATCAAGAAAGGCAAAAAAAAAGAAATATATTAAAAGCTTGCCATCCTTAAGTTATATGGAAGTTCAGATTTAGACCATCCTTTAGAAGATGAGATGAGTGTCTAGGAATAGACACAACATCTCTCATGACTCCAATCCCAAACTGTCTCCAATACAGCAATTCCTGAATTACAGTGCACAAACATCCAAGTAGAAAGGTGGGATTGGATCAAAAATTACTTTGAGACAGACAGCTTATTTGAACATGAAAAGGAAAATTAATCATGTATGGCAAACAATACAAAAATAGGTTATTCCCTATGATGTCGGGATAAGCCATTTCTCAACCAGGAAACTAAAGGCAACATTGAATACTTTAAGCCATAGGCAGCACCTCTAAAGGGGCTGAACACCATTCAGAATTAATTACCTCAGAACTGATGGCACACAACACTAGGGCACCAAAGGGACCCTTTATTTCCATATAAAGCATAAGCCAACAAGAAATCAGAGGAGTTCCATACAAAGAAGTGAATGTGCATAACTCAAGGTGTAGTGTAGGATAGTTATATTGCCTTAAGAGTTCTGCTAAGTACACTTAATTTTCCAATTTTAAGGAAGAGTCTATTCTAATATAGAAAGCTTCAGACAAAACTTAGTAATTGCAGAATAACTTTAAAATACATCCAGTTCTACAACCTCCTGCATATATCTAATCACATCCAATAGATAAAAAAATTACATGTTTTGTAAACCCAGTAAAGAGTGTTAGAATAGAATTTTCACACCCGTGAGCTTATTACCAAATGTTCACCCATTTGTCAGTGGATAATATTAAGAAATTCATACCAACAGTTATGGCAACAAGATGACAATGCACATAAGTGCTGCGTGTTCTGAAAGGTAGTCAGTTTTAATTACCATGAATTGCTACCATCTATCATACCTCATTCTATGCAAGATACCGCGCCAGCTACCAATCCATAAACAATGTTTCACATACTTCATAGAGTAGCTTAAAACACATCGTGATATGAAATAATTTGTATTACATAGTAATTTAATCCCTGGCCACAGGGTTAATGTTGGACAAAGTCTGGAAACTTTTTTCCAATTTGAATTACATACATTAACTTTGCCACACACCACAGCACTAATGCATGTATTACTTCAGACATGCTCTAATTTAAAATCGAAACAAAAAAGTTGCTGCAAAAATACATGTCACCAATGTGGAACACATTCAAGATTGTATAAAAAGTACTGAACTGATATCCCAAAACAGGTATATTTAAGCAGTACATAAGGAAAGATTAGTTTTAATATGAAACAGTCATTTCAGTCACATACAACATGATAAGAAGCATGACTTCCTTTTTTAAAAATGTTACACCAATGCTTTTACTGCCAGGCAATGTTTATTTATAAAATGAAAGGGATATATTTAATGCAGATGTGCTATCGTATTAAGTTGGAATAAAGACAAGTGTTAAAAAGGTGCTACACTTGAACACCATTGATTTTGTAAAAATCTCAAACCGTAAAAAGCATTTAACTTGCAAATATAATAGGCCCTGAACTGCAAACACTTCGAAACGTTCTTGACTGTGTGCATGCAGTTCCACTGACTTCGTTAATTCTCACATGCTTGAAGTTAAGCCTGAAAAATGTGATTACAAAACTGGTTCTTAGATGAAAAACTTCAGAGATCACAAAGTATATTCTTCTTTGAGCAGCCCCCAAAATTATATTTTTGTTTTAAACAGAGCAAACTTTATTACTTTTCTGTAGTCTCTTTCATCTGAAGATCTCAAGTAATAACTAGGCCTCTAAACAGCCTTGGGAAGTAAGCATTAGTCCGATCTTCTGAAAGAAGAGATTGAGGCACAAACAGTTAAACTGCTTGTCTCAAGTTGTAGAAGGGATCAGTAAAACAGCCAGAAACAGGATTTTTGATATCTACCCTCTAGCCTATATGCAGCACTGTCACTTACCCTGACACCAATAAAACAAGTATTTTAAAGAGCAAATTACTTATTTTTCTCATTTAAAACTGGTCTGTGGCAAAACAACTAAGTATTAAGGACAGTTCAATCAATTTATAGGTATTTCTTTCAGTCGGGGGTGGGGGGGGAGGAAAAAAAAGAAGAAAAGAAAAAAGAAAAAAAAAAAAAAGAACATTTTGGGCAATATAGGCTGCGTTTCTCACCATGACAAGGAGCTATTTAAAAAAGACGCAGACATTTCCCACAAAATGTTAAGGTTTGTAAGATTTACAAAATCTTTGCAATATTTTTTGGTGTGCAGCACCAGTACACTCTAAATCACTACTAATGAAAGAAGCACATGATAGTTCAATACAAATTGTTTCATGTAGAGTATTACAAAAAAACTCACCTATTCTAATCAGCCCTCCCTCCCACCCACCCTTCTATAACTAATATTTCTAATTCTAACCAGCTGACATTTTCCTAGTACCTTACTAACAAAACATGATTGTTGTTTTTCCTGTGCATACTTGAACTACTACTAGTCAATACATGCAGAGAAAAACAAAGTATAACCCTCTGTCTAGATAAAGAGTCCAGGTATGCCAAGAGCAGATCCGTAGGGCAAGCATATTGGCTGGATGACTTCTGGAGATCCTAATCAGTCATATCTCTATGATCAGTGTGATAACAAGTTTGGTTTTGTTGTTCATTTGTTTTTATTTGATATAATTGGCATTTGCTAATGCCTTGAATTTGTAGGTTAATAAATGCAGAAAATTTACTGGGTTACAAACCCAACATAATACCAGTTTAGAAAAACTGAAATAAATTGCTAGAGTAAGTTTCACAAATACACAATTTAAGGCCTTATAAAATGATACTCCAGTTGATTTTAAGTTTGTAAGAACACTATATTTAAATTCTAATGTCTTGCTAGCTAATTTAAAAAACACTTGCCTAACTTCATGTAAGGTTGAGGAAGAGATTAATACATGGCTATTTTAAATACAATGTCTACTCCAAAATGTTAAAACATTAATTGGACTTCTGAGAACAAATGCCCCAAACATCATCTCACAACAGGAATGGGGTGTGGGAGTGGGAAAGGTATTGTGAACAGTACGCTTGGGTAACAATATCATCACTGGAGCTTTTGTTGAATTGTCACTGAGCAAAATTTTTTATTTCATTGACATTGCTGCAAGTCTGAACCAGCTCCACTGACTTCACAGTCCAAATTGTTGCAGAGA